ATGCGGGTGTCCATACATGTGGGTAACCCAATAATCCCCAATAGCTGGATCGAAATGTCATGGACATTCTGAAAATATATTGAACCCATGAGCGGTACATCAAAAACCTTTTGGAAAATGCCTCCAAAATGGCTGAATCTTATACAGGATGGCCCCCCCAAGGTATAAGTTGGTTTATAAACCCCATTAACATCCATTGTCTATAGTTATGTCTACCCTACATCATAGAATTCAGCCACTTATAAGGCAACTGAACGCTATCTTGGGGGCTGCATCCTGTCGGGGGATTCCCAGCTCATAGATTTGAATCGTAATAGATGGGTATGTCTGAAAACGTGGTGCTCATAAACACCCAATGGTTTATCATCGTTTTCCATATTAACATTGCCGTGTTGGGTGGTACATCATGGTATCTCACTTTCGGACACAACCATGTTATGATGTATGATGCAAACTAGCTATGTATATAATATATATATATATATATACACACAATTACATCTAACACATATCAATTACATGATTTATTACTATGTTAATACGTGATATTTTTTGGGTAGTAAAAGCGCGCCCCTGGTTTTCAGACATCACCTCCACCGCTGAGGGTTCTACTCCAACTCCTCATAGTTGGTCATCACCTCCCAAACCTGACACGTTCACCCCAGACGGCGATTCACACGGGGAGTCTCGGCGATTCACCATCGATATGAAAAACGCTGGTTTTTGTTGGGTGACGATATGCATGAAGGCGATATCATGTATGTCTGTATATTCTATATATGATTATATGTTCGTATACAGAGAGAAAGAGAGAGATAGAGACAAAACCATATTGACATCTTATGTATCCGCTAGGATGGACACACAAGTTATGAATAGATCCATTGAATTCTGCCACAGTTGTGTTCTGGGGTACAACACATATTAGAGGGAAGGGATTGCTTAGATGTGAATCTTACCATGTTGACCAGTGGTTCATTTTGACATTTTGACCATTACCATGTTTAGAACCCAGTTGTACCTGAGATATCCCTAGTTATTTGGGACATGTCTGGTGTTGTCCAAAAATAGGGTACAATGAATTCAATGAATTCCAATCATTTTAATCCCGTTCCCAAATAAAATTGCCGCAATTTTGCCGGATACCCCATTTATGGACAAACCCACATACCCTCTGGTAAATTAACAGTTCGCTATTGAACATTGCCATAGAAATAGTTGATTTACCCATTAATAGCATGGTGATTTTCCCATCAGTTTTTTCTTCACGTTTACCAGGCCGGGTAGTACCATGCCGTTCAGTTCCCAATGGCCTGGGCCAACTGGGTGGCTCATTGGTGAAAAGGTCGAAGATGGTGATTTTTACCATGAGAAAACAGCCCCTGGCATCTGTAAAAGTCGGCTACTCCATGATATATCCACTATAGTTACTCATCATTTTCCCATAGTCACTATGCTGCATTTTTTCAAGATTCAAAATTTCTCTATCATAAGCCCACAAGGCGCGTATACACAACCATAGTGTCTCAACAAAAATGGGATAACTCATCAGCGGCCTCCTCCACCGATGCCCCGATATCGACACCTCGGTGAAGCCACCAGGCGAAACACCAAGCGATAGCTAAGTTGGTTAACAAAAGCCCCAGTGACTATAGTTATAAGTACCATAAACATCCATAAACCATAGTAATTGTACCATAAACCATAGTTATTGGAGTTATGTGCACCAACTGAACGCTATCGAATGGGGGCCTCACTAATTGTATAATTTACTATAAGTTATTATAATTTGGAGGCTTTTTTGTACCTTCTCAGACAGTGTTTGGATCCAGAGGGTATATATATATAAATATATATATATATGGTTGTTGATCAAAATTCCTTTATCCCGGAACGGCCATTCTTCGCGAATAATAATTTTACTTTCGCGAAACTTTCGCGAACTCCATGTTTATCTTTCGCGGGGCCCATGTTGGCCAACAACACCTCATATGAAGATTCGCTCACCACCTGCCAAATTACGCCAGAGAATCACGGATCACTTCTTGGTAGCCTTTTAAACATGCAGCTAGCATCACGGAATCCCTTCTCAGGACATATTTTTTTTGCAAAATTTACTGGCCCACCCCCTTCAACATGCACTTTGACTTTCGCCCGCTCTTTCGCATAACTTTCGCGGAACTTTCGCGAAAATACCCCTATTCACAGACCCCGGCCATCAGCAGGGGGTGCACTGAAGGAAAAGCGAAGACCAGGGGCCTTGGTGTTTGGCTCTCGCAAAGCCTCACTTTTGGAAACTTGGCTACTGCTACTCGCATTCTCTGGTGCCCTTCTCCTGCCGGACCCCGGGCGGCAGTGGGTGGCAGCCCTTTACATATAATGATTATAATACCCAACTTTCGCGAAACTTTCGCGAAATAAAATGTTACTTTCGCGAACTCGAAAAAAAAACTTTCGCGAGGGTTTCCAACATAACACGCACGGCTTTCGCAATTAAAACTCCTTACAAGGACCTTTAGATCGATCACCATATATATATTGGTGAATTATAGTAATTCACTAACCTGAAATAAAGCCATTTTGGGATGATTTCCCTTATTAACCATGATTCCAGTGAGGTCGTTATAATTTACCGAGATGGATAACCATGATTTTTTGGGGATATATGATATAAACATAGATAACCACAAATAACCAACCGGCAAGACCCTATGGTTTGCCCGCAAGGTTAGAATGGAGTTCAAATATTATCCTTCGACATGTTCGAAAACCTGCGCAGGGTCAGTGTGTTGGTATTTACCAGACGACGAACCCAAAACCCTAAAACCCTAAACCCTAAAACTCTGAATCCGAAAGCAGAAAACTTTGTGTATACGCAGTACTTTCTGCAATTTCTCTTCTCATGTTCGACGACAGGGAATCCTCAATGTTGCAGTCCGGGCAATCCGCGTAACCATAGATAGGGGGATGTGAAAAAATACAGTGGTTTTAACTGAGCATTAAACATTGTTTATGGGGGAACATGATACAATCATAGTGGGCTTACAAACCAGCGAACATAACTGGGGGGCCTCACCTCGTAATTGGTTTGGATATCGGAATATCAACCGGAATAATGTTCTGTCTAGGGGATATCAGGATATCAATATTAACACCTTACATATACAGTGGTCTGCAGTATTTTCTTACATTAAAATTGACACGATTAGTTTTTTGTAGTCCCAATGGGAATATAGTCCCGATGGGAATTAAGCCATTAGTTGAAACGCAGTAAGTAGTATCTGGAAATTCTTTAAAATACAATCTGGTAATTTGTTGCATAGCTATTGAAAATGGCCCATTTACAGTTGCTTTGTGTTGATTTACCTATTAAAGATGGTGATTCTCCATAGCTATGTTAAATAACCAGAGGGTATATATAATGGTTTCAAATTTAATGGACATAACTATGGAAAATCACCATGTTGAATGGATAAATCCACTATAAATGGCCATGTTCAATAGCAAACTGTTAGATTACCAGAGGGTAAATCTTTCCCAACTCTGTTCCCATCGAAGCGAAAAATCGTCATGGCCTAAGCTCGGCACCTGTAAAGATCCGTCCTTGGACGGCCGATGTGAACGGCACCCGATATTCAAAAAACACACTTTAAAAGGAAAATGCGTTACCCTCTGGTAAATTAACATAGACCCTGGCAGGTAGGGGTTGGAAGACTAGTATCCATTAAAAATTGGTGATTTTCAGGGTCTATGTTTATTTAACAGAGGGTAATACCCTATGGATCCAGTCGTACCTTCTTAGGAAGTGGGACTGGGGTGTAATTTACTATATACTTTGGAGGCTTTTTTTGTACCTTCTCAGACAGTGGCCATGGATCCATAGGGATACATAAACATAGTTAAACATACATGGGGGGTTCCTAAAATAGAGCTACCCCGTTTTTTATCATCATCATAGATGGGATTTTCCCTATTGGGTAGCCCATTGATGGAGTTTCCCCCCTCCCTGAAAACCACCTCGATTTTCACGTTGCACAGATGGATCTACATGGATGAAATCCCATGATCTCCGGGGATATCCCATGAACCAATGGGTTTGCTGAACTCAAATATCTCAAATTGCAAAAAGGGAGGGAAAAAATGGGGTCAATGGTCATTCCTTCCACCCGGAAACAGCATTGATGTAGTGTACCCCATTCTCCTGCAAGTTTCATGTGTTGAATTTGGTAAATGTTGCTAGCACGTATGTTTGCATGCGGGAAAAAAAGGGTTGGACATGTCCTTTCCGAGGTTGGCATGGTTGGTTGCCCACGTTTTGCGCAGTCTTGAAAAAACCTGACACCGTTCATTTGAACCAATGTGTACACTTTCCGACCTTCCGTTGTGTTTTTGTCCTTCTGGTGTTGTTCTTTTGTTCATTATCAATTCCTCTGTGGTATTTTTGGAAACAGATACATCTTTAAGGTCCAATGACACGTACATTAACATCTATTATATAACTATTTTTTCGCAAGGTATATTTTTTTTTCTGGAAAGGTAATGAACATCATATTTACACAAAACATTTATTAACTATAAATTACATGTAATTAGTTCTCATCCATAAACATCTATATACTTAGATGGGCCATAGGATTGGCCACCTGGTTAGTAACTGTGATTCTAATCCCCTATATCCCAATTATGATTATTATAATCCATTTACAATTATAGTTATAATTATGATATAGTGGATATGGTTTACTAGTGGATAATCCCAATTATAATCCCGTATAATGACCAGTGAGCTAACTCCATCGCCCATCTACCATCTGGTTATTTAACACAGCCATGGAGAATCACCATGTCATGTTTAATTGGAAAATCCACTATTTCTATGGGTCATTTCCCATGGCGAACTGTTAGTCATAGCCAGAGGGTAAGTATTGATTTCCACTATCTGAAAATTCCCATGTTCATTCCCCACAATGCCGAGCTACAGATCCCTGTTGGTATGGTTTCTACACCACAAGCGGCCCATCTAAGTATTGATTTCCACAACATGCGCCATGCGCCGTGCCCTGCTGTGCTTCCCTGCGGGCATTCCCTGGGGCATCTTCGAGGCGGACCACTGGCTCTCCGCCGGGGATTAAACAGACAGAGTCTGTCAACACCACCGGTGTGTCCTGCGTCAATGCTGTAACGGTGTTAACGGTGTTAACCCATAATTTAAGATCCAACTGAGAAAACAAAACGCAAAAAATCAGCGGGATTTAACGGATTTAACTAAACACATGTATTTACATTTGATTTATGTCAGCTGTATAAGTGGGTTTATGATTCCAACACAATATCATGTTTTTGGTGGATTCCAACCAAAATACATGACTAGAAGGTACCACCCTGTATCACGTTCAAATTCCATCCCCCTGATGTTTGTCTGGAAATGGAGATACCCATGCATGGCCATAAATGCGTGTTTTTTGCAATAACAAACACTGTTTGGGGCATTGGGAACCAGGCCCAGGTGGAAAAAAAACATGAAATGGATTTAAACATTCACACATTGTGGATTTATATACATGGTTCAACCATCCAAAAAAAAATATTTGTCTGGTTTGTGGGGATTCCACACGAACCCTGGCAACTCCAACCAAATTCTAAGACCACAAAATGAAGATATTTTCACTTTAGGCACTTAATGAAGATATTAGTAGTTATATGAACTTATCATAGAAGTGTTTTTTCTTTATTTTTACTTATTTTCACTTATTTTTCAATGTTTTTTTGATGATCAGAATTGATTATAGACGATGCATTTTTCTGTTATATATTTTTGGAAAATAGTTGTCGACCTTTTTGTTTCCTTTGGAATATTTTTTCTTGCCTTTTTTCATTGTTTTTTTCATTCTTTTCAGGCATCATCCTTTTAGAAATCACCCTTTTCAGGATTTATCCTTTTCAGGAATTATCCTTTTCAGGACTTATCCTTTCAGGATTTTTTTATTCAGAATGAATCCTTTTCAGGAACTATCCTTAACAGGAATCTTTCTATTCAGATTGATTTCATTTTCAGGAACAATGCTTTTCAGGAGTTATCTTCTACAGGAAATGGTTCTTCTACAGGAATATGCGCGGCTGCGAGTGACACAAAGAATCTTGAAGTACATCTGTGGAGAAATCATTCAGAGGCAAAAGGAAAAAAACATATAAAGGATGCTTCTTGGAAAGAACAATTGCTCTTTTGATGTGTCTTCTTCAATTGTATACGACTGCCCAGAATGAGATCTTTCACAACATGAGGCTTCGGTTACTACTTCCAAACTACATAATTCAGGGATGAAGATGGATACCTAATTTGGAAAATATTCTATTATATTTTTTTGTTGGTAAAAGATTTAAAGCTAGCTGGCTTGCTTTTTGTTTTGAAAATGTATTTTCTATAATTGCTATTTATGTTTTATTGTTCATATTGTTCTACAATTTACTTTCTTTTGATTTCGCATACTTTGTTCATACGGTTTTTTTGCTGAGATTTTGGTGGTTGATTAATCGCAGGGAATTATTAATCCTAACTTGACATTATTATAAATACTTACTTATCCTTTTTTTCTCTATAAATATTTCCTGAATTTTCTGAAATTTCTGAATTTTCTGAAATTTCTGGATTTTCTGGATTTTCTGAATTTTCTGAATTTTCTGAATTTTCTGAATTTTCTGAATTTTCTGAATTTTCTGAATTTTCTGAATTTTCTGAATTTTCTGAATTTCCTGAATTTTCTGAATTTTCTGAATTTTCTGAATTTTCTGGGTTTCTGAATTTTCTGAATTGTTTTCCTTTTAATTTAAATTGTAAATTCTGAATTTTCTGAATTTTCTGGGTTTCTGAATTTTCTGAATTTTCTGAATTTTCTGACTTTTCTGAATTTTCTGAATTTTCTGGGTTTCTGAATTTTGTGAATTTTCTGAGTTTTCTGAATTTTCTGGGTTTCTGAATTTTGTGAATTTTCTGAGTTTTCTGAATTTTCTGAAATTTTTGAATTTTCTGAATTTTCTGAATTTTCTGAATTTTCGGAAATGTCTGAAATTTCTGAGTTTTCTGAATTTTCTGATTTTTTCTGAATTTTCTGAATTTTCTAAATTTTCCTTTCCAGGAAGTATCCTGCAGAGAACTATTCCCTACAAGTTTTTTCCTTTCCAGGAAGTATCCTGCAGAGAACTATTCCCTACAAATTTTTTCCTTTCCAGGAAGTATCCTGCAGAGAACTATTCCCTACAATTTTTTTCCTTTCCAGGAAGTATCCTGCAGAGAACTATTCCCTACAAAAGTTTTCCTTTCCAGGAAGTATCCTGCAGAGAACTATTCCCTACAATTTTTTTCCTTTCCAGGAAGTATCCTGCAGAGAACTATTCCCTACAAATGTTTTCCTTTCCAGGAAGTATCCTGCAGAGAACTATTCCCTACAAAATTTTTCCTTTCCAGGAAGTATCCTGCAGAGAACTATTCCCTACAAAAGTTTTCCTTTCCAGGAAGTATCCTGCAGAGAACTATTCCCTACAATTTTTTTCCTTTCCAGGAAGTATCCTGCAGAGAACTATTCCCTACACAATTTTTCCTTTCCAGGAAGTATCCTGCAGAGAACTATTCCCTACAATTTTTTTCCTTTCCAGGAAGTATCCTGCAGAGAACTATTCCCTACAATTTTTTTCCTTTCCAGGAAGTATCCTGCAGAGAACTATTCCCTACATTTTTTTTCCTTTCCAGGAAGTATCCTGCAGAGAACTATTCCCTACAATTTTTTTCCTTTCCAGGAAGTATCCTGCAGAGAACTATTCCCCACACAATTTTTCCTTTTCAGGAAGTATCCTGCAGAGAAATTGTCCCTACATTTTTTTTTTCCTACCATTTTTTTTTCCAAATAGGCGCCTTCAGAGAATTGTTCTTTAGCAGCATATTCCTGTTCAGGAAGGTTTCGTCAGAAAAGTAGTGCTCTGAGACAATATTGTTTCGTCGAAAATCAACATTCCTGCGAATCTATCAAACACACATAAAAATCAAATTTCACTTCTTATCACTTCTTTTCGCTTATTTTGGCTTATTTTTGACTAATATTCTACTATATTTGCTTATATTTTCCTTATTATGTTATAAGTTCACCTAAAAAATTTAGTGGAACTTATAACAAAATATTTTTGAAAAAACAATTTGAACAAGATATTAGAAGGATAATAGTAACTTATAGTATACTTATAAATTCATTAAGTGCCTAAAGTGCAAATATTTGCATTTTGTGGTCTCAGTTGGGGTACACTAAAGACTCCCCCGATTAAGAAAAAAAGGTAAGCGCAAGCCGCAATCACCCTTTTCGGCATAAACCGAAGGATTCAGATGGATTCAGAAGGATTGATTAGACCGGAAAAAAATCCAACGTTATTATAGCACACAAGTTATCACATTAAACAACCCAAAATGTTATGTAGTTGTTGCTTGGTCTGGAAGTCGCCAATTGCAACCCAACTTACTTGGGAAATGTTGGTATAATATACCATGGCATTGACCTGGGGTTCCAAATTTTGAGACGATATATAGGCTCGGTTGGTGGCGGACATACGTTTATCGAAGAGGTCAAAAATGCAACACCGGGGCACACTGTGGGGCCATGCTGTCGTAAGCAACCAACAGTGATTCATCATGAAATTCAAAAAATGCTAAAGAATGAGCGGGGAACTGGCTTAAAACATGACGTCAAAGCAGCCATTTTGCAAAGGACCCAGGTCTCGAGCTAACAGAATGTCGTGGCTCCATATTTATAAACATTTTATAAGATGGGTGGTGGTGGAGGCTTGGTTTGGTTCAACAGGAAACACCGGCAAACCAACAAAAACAAAAAGGGTGCCTTAAAATCCTTGCCCCAACCTCATTTCCCAGGTCCCAAGCCAAGTCATGTTCATAAATGTGTGTCATATAAAATGGTTGGTGTGGAAATATGTCCAGCTTGTACCTATCCACTTCCCTGGGAAACACTGCAATCCTTTTTCCCAGTTTCCGAAATAATATCTGCATTTTTGGAAACAAAATGTAAGAAATAAATACGTTACAGCTAAATCTAAATACTGTTTTTTCAACCATAGTTTGTTCCACCCTGACCTTCTCTGGACTGCAGTCCCTTTAGCCCCAAGCCATTTTGTAACAAAACTTTCTTCCAAACCCTCAGGCAAACACATATGCATGCGCCTCATTTTGTCAGTGTTATGAAATGGCTGGGCACGATATCATTTTGCAACGGAGACGTGATCTACGACAAACCCGCAGTAAAAGGCATGACTGCGTGTGTGCGTGTGTGCGCGCGGGCCGAAAAAATGTTACGATGCGAAGCCGCTACAAAAATGTGATTTCTGCTCTCATGGGTTTTGATTGGTGTGCATACCTGACGATGTTAAGATGCACAAAACTAAGAACACCTGGAGCAACGACTTTTGGCCCCTGGCCTTGTCAACCGGCCGGATGGAAAAAATGCGATAATCCGTTGTGTGTAAGGAAGGCACTTCCAGACAGGCCAACCTCTTCATGTTGGTGGCTGGCTCCTGTTTCTGCCCTCTCCCTGTTTGTGTTTACGGCGTTGGTGCGAGCATTGCCGTTTTAATGACGGCTGATGCTGCAATTTTGACGACTAAGGCGGTTTGCCACCGTTCAACGTCTGCCCGTCGGTGGTTTCACTGCAATTGCTGGTGATGGAATGATAAAACAACATATACAAACACAGTTGAAATCACCATCAATCTTGCCTGCTAGAAACTAAACCTCAGACCAAAAATAAGATTGATGCTCACGACGCATAAACTATGAATCCAGTCTCCCCAAACTTTGGTTTCAGATTCTGTTGCCGCCACCCTGCATGAAAGGTGGAATCTCGCCGCCCATCAAAAGTGTTATGCAGGTATACGTCTCACCGAAAAAGACAAGTACCCTCCAGTACTGAAATTATTGTTAAAACTGGTTTGATGATGTTTCCCTCCATTATACTCCCTTATTTTCTAACATGATAATGGAAAATCATCTATTTAGTTGGATCATTTTCCGGCTACCCCGGCCAGGGTGATCCCACTGGTAATCATGGCTATAGCGGCTATTGAAATAGCACATTGATATACATTGATAGATAAATCTGATAAATCTACCTATACGTAACGATTTTCCATAGCTGTGTCAAATTACCGGACTGTAGCTCTGTCTTAAATCCCACGTCGATTTTTTGACAAAAAACAATGGATGCACTCAGGCTAATGGAGCTGAATACGTTCCATCTCCCTGAGTAAAATCCTCATTTGATCCTCATTTGGATGGGTTTATGTTTAACTGGATCCATTCATCAGGGCACATCATCATAAAGTTTTAAAAGCTAACACCGAATTTAAGCACATGCTGAAATCATTCAATTGCTAACCCTCACTTGGCTGTTCCAAACTAGGTTACCCCAAGATCTCAAAGGGGTGTTCATCATGTCTCCTATCAGCAAATACTTCATGTTCAGGCAATCCCATATCATATTGTTTATAGTTCATCCGCGTATATCCCATTATATGCCCATTATCATCACGTGATGTCGTTGCATCCATATCATCCATGAATATAGTAGGATTTCCATGGATTTCCATTTTCTATTTTTTGGGGTTACTATATGGAACCTTGGTTTTCCAACTTCCCTTGTCGATATGCTTCAGCTCCTTTTTTGTCGATATGCCCTAGGCCCTAGTTATTGGAGTTATGTTTACCGAGCTAGTTGACTATGGCGCACCCTGTATCCTCTGGTAGATTTGAAAATGGCCATAGAAATAGTTCATTTATCCATTCAACATGGTGATTGTCCATAGTTATGTGACAGTTTACCAGAGGTAGCAGAATGTGTGGTTTTGCCAACGAAAAAAGTGGGGGTTGAACTGGAAAAGTCAGTACTTGCCTAAGAAATGTCACCTACATAAACTTGCCTTTAAAGTTGGGATCTGACTACCCAACATTGTATTCCCTCAACACCAAACATGCTTTCGGCATACTGCCAGCTCTCCTCGTCGGCTTCTGCGCTCTCATCCTCCCGACCCAGAACCTGCGCACCAGTTCGCGTTCGCTCACATGAGGTCTACCTCTTGGGCGGTGAAATCTTAGAACAAATTTCTACTGTATGTGTAAAAACATAATATATCTATACATACAATATATATATATTCAAAATCTGCAAATACATATTATGTATATATATATATATAATTTATCATGTATATATACTTATATATATATATTCACATACATGCATATATGTACATATATATATATAATATTATATATGTGTACATATTTACATATGTATATATATATATATACATATACATGATACATACTAACATACCTTGTGTTCGTCCTTTTAAAGAGCTGATGATGACTGAATACACCAATCTTATTGGAGGAAGGGTGGCATATCTCTATATGTATACACAAATTGTATATAGAGATACAGGTATACAACCATCATATGTTTTGATGTTGCATTAAACATGGTTCAATGAACTCAAAATGGAAGAGATGGAACTGGAGTAAGTCCACCACATATTATATAGATCATTCGGCACCAAACGGTGAAGTTCCAAATGGTGAATGTTTTCTTTTGTGTACATGATGGGTACCCTCTGGTAAACTGTCACATAGCTATGGAAAATCACCATTTTTAATGGGTAAATCAACAATTTCTATGGCCATTTTCAATAGCTATGTTTGTTTACCAGTAAGCAGTATATCATATCTACTGTTGGTTGGGCTCATGAACCAAGTTATAATTAGGTGCTACCCCGTATATCAACTCTTGTATCTATGATATTCACATTGTGACCGATAAACACATCCAGTAGAGGTTGGTTAAAAAACAAGTTGCTTCAGTCTTTCATTCCTAACAGTAAATATCAACTTGATGAACCAATCTTTTGGTCCCAAAATTGATATCCCCATTTGCTCATAATAATCCTGCCATATACCCATTGTAAGAACCTTTGTGCTCTTCTCTGTATCTCAGCGTATCCATTAAAATCATCTCATTTTTATAACGTCATAAACGCTCCAAAACTTTTTTGTTCTAACGCCATAAAGACATATAAACAGATCATTTTCTATTCCCTTAACGTGGCAATGACGCATCCTTTAACTCGATGTTCACCAGCTCCCAAGACCAGAGGTCAAATCAGCAGTTTTTTCCCTCCACGTTGTACACAGTGGTTGGTGACGTATCCCCGTTATCAATAAAGTGATGTGTATACATATATATATATATATGTTTATGGAAATATAATAATTAGTACATGTTTATTTGTATAATTATATATATATATATCCTTAGTTCCAGGAGTTATTTCATCACATTTAGTTCCCTGGCTTTTTCGGGCCATAACCGGTCAGTGATTATATAACCATATTTTCATAGGGCCTATAGCAAATAATTGCAAGTTCTTGGCTTTATTCCCATACTGCTCTAGTTCTGCCCATACCCACATCCACTAAACAATATAGTGTGGATACAATGGAATATATAAACAATGAGTTATATAAAGTGGGATATATAACCCCCTGTCAATTAAGGGTTGGGGCTGTGCAACCATTTTGTAGTGAAGAAACGGCCTGCATAGCCTCAAGCTCTACTAAATGGATGTGCATGCATGATCGAATTTCACTACTAAATGTGGGCCCCTGGTTCAGCTGAAGCGCAAAATTTGGATATATTTTCAGAGTGTCTTAAGACGCCAACATGACTCGACCAAACACCCTGTTCCATTTAGTAGAAGTACTCATTTGAGCACAAGTTGCGGGACCAACATCACTCGACCAAAACCCCAAAGCCATTTAGTAGAGAAATACACGGGGTCCATTTAGTAGAGAAAACAACATGAAACACATATGACTGATCCCATGACCATCCATTTAGATTTGGCATCGCCCCCAAAAAACGCAAAAAAAAAAACAAACACGAAAGGCAGCACCCGAAGAGCAAGAAACACCCAAGCGAGGGATTTGGCATCGCCCCCAAAAAAGGCAAGGCAGCACTTGGCTAGACAGGGGAAATCTTGATAGAATTTGGACATTTTGGGACTACAAAATGGTGTTGCATAGCGCGTAAGGGATTATAGGGCACACAAGGATGCAACAGGGCTTTGTTTGAAACAGTTCTAGATAGACTGATCCCATGACCATCCATTTAGTAAGCACCCGACGAGCAAGAAACACCCAAGCGAGGGATTTGGCCGCCCCCAAAAAAGGCAAAAAAAGAACCCAAACACGAAAGGCAGCACCCGACGAGCAAGAAACACCCAAGCGAGGGATTTGGCATCGCCCCCAAAAAAGGCAAGGCAGCACTTGGCTAGACAGGGGAAATCTTGATAGAATTTGGGCATTTTGGGACTACAAAATGGTGTTCCATAGCGCGTAAGGGATTATAGGGCACACAAGGATGCAATAGGGCTTTGTTTGAAACAGTTCTAGATAGACTGATCCCATGACCATCCATTTAGTAGAGGCAGCACTTGGCTAGACTGGAGGCGGCATGGCAGGATACCGCAAGGATGCTATCTTTGTCCAACTTCTGTTGTTTCATATCGCGGTATACCCGATCATGTTGATTTACTTCAACCCAGGAATATCTTTGATATTCATTGGCATTCTAGAATTTATATTTATTTTTCAAGCTTCTTATTTTTTTGAGCATCTATTATCATATACTATCTGGATTTACGTGATTCATCCTGATGGACATGGATTGGCCAAACGACTATCGGGGGCAACGGAATGGGAATCTCTACCAAATGGTTTTTCAGTTTTGTCTCGTGTCATTGTGACCGTTTTATGAACTCTACTTCGCAACCTCTACTAAATGGTTCCTGTGATTTTGCAACAATTTTTTGACATCTCTACTAAATGGTTTTACCCAAAAAACAACATTTGACATCATATGATTAACATATCATTTTTACCTCACTACTAAATGTGGATCATGGGTCTAGAGATGCTTACTTGATTTTTTTTTGAAAAATCATGATTCTCTACTAAATGGTTTCTGGAAATTTCACACTAAATTTTTGGTTCACTTTCCGGGACCTAGGTCATAGCATTTAGTAGTGGAAATTGGCAGGAGGATGGATATATTGTATAGCAAATTATCTAAACAATATTCAATATTAAACCTATGGTTGTTAAAACATATCAAATCCATATCATATCCATATCCACTAAACACTATTAAACCTCTGGTACCAAGCCTAAGTCTCCCTCGCCTTCCGCTTTCGCTTCCGCATGGAGGCTACCGGCAGAAGAGCCAGGAGCTGCCGGGCCAGGCCTGACGATCAGCGCCCCAGTTCGGAATCGCAAAGTTCGTACACATCACTCCATAATTTCACTAGGGTTAATGGGGGTTATATATAGGTATGTAAATATGTATATATATATATATATGTATTTGTCTATATCTATATCTACATCTATATACAATGTATATATCTATCTGTACATGTATTTATCTATATACATATCTATACTTAATGAGGATTATAGAACAAATTATAACAATGTATACAATGTGGTGCCCGCCCAGTTATAAAAAAAAAGTCGGTTTACCGCCCCCATTAGCTATCTTGGAGGCACTACCTTGAAGGATGTGGTGCATTTGACCGGCCACAAAGATATAACTGAAAAACAGCGGCGGAGGGGGTTGATGGAATATATGTACGATATGGTAGGGTCGATTGCCAAGGTACCCTCTGGTAAACTGTCACATAACTATGGAAAATCACGATGCTATTCATGGGAAAATATCAACTACAATAATTAATTACATTTAAATACACTAACGATTGTAGTTGTAAAGAACAGTCTTTTAAATATACGAACTTACGGTATTTTAGACCTCCGGGATGGATTTCCTCGGCCCACCCGGCCATGTAAAAACCTACGGCATCCAAGTCATTTTTACACACTAAGGTGACGACATTACCCAGATGCTCAATGGTGCTGGAATATTTAACTACATAAAAACCCCAAAATGGCCCAGTTTTGTAGGTAAATATTCCAGCACCGTGGAGCATGTGTTTTTTTTTTTTATACGGTGACTTACCTCCAGGGCCTCGCGGCCTGGCCCGCCCACATATTTAAATTAAGTGTTACCGGTATTTCTATGGCCATGTTCAATAGCGAACTGTTAGTTTACCGACCAAAGGGCATGTTTTATGCTCATCAATCCCAGGCCATCCATGCCATGGCGATCCAAACATGGGAATCTCTGAATTCATCGCTGACTGACAATGGATTGATGATCATCCCCCAGCACATAGAGGTACACAATCAAACTTTTGCCCCTGGCACATAAGGAGGATTTGGATGGATATGGATGATATGGGACATTGGATGATAAAACAACATGTTTCAATGGATTTTTTTGTACCAACAGAAGTAGCTAATAGTAGCTAACCATCAATGGAGGGAATCAAGCAACAATGAAAGTAAATCCAATATACCCTCTGGTTATTTAACATAGCCATGGAAAATTTGAAAATGGCCCATTTATAGACGGTTTACCTATTAAAAATGGTGATTTTCCATGTCTATGTTAAATAACCAGATGGTAATCCAATAGTGTCCGGATTATGGGCAAAATTAAGGGGCGGTGACTGTTACATATTTCCCAAAAAGGCTGGGGAACCCTGGGATGTGACACCTCTTTTCTGAATCAGCCTGTAGGAAAAGGACATCAACTTACACGGGCAAGTCGGACTTAGTCCAGCGAACCAGAAGCGAAAGGCACGGTTATGCAAAATGCCCATCTAAGTTTTAATCGAAGGAAGTTTAGAAGTCAAACTTCCGACAATATGGACAGATGAAAAGCAGAGCAGGGAAGAGGTAGAGAGAAGAGAAAGATTAGAAGAAAGAAGAGTAGAAGAGAAAGAGTAAGAAGAAAGAAGATGGAGATGCGCGAAAAGGTAGGAAAGTCGCGAAACACTGTGTTTTTCCAATGATTTGTGGCTCTGGAGGGTCGAAAAGTAGGCTCGCTAAAGCGGCGGGTGCGGAGCCAGCTGGCCAGAGGAGAGATGAAAAATTGCACGCCGTTGTGGCGCGAAGCACATTTCCAAGTCAAAATGTACAAAACACACCAGGTCGGACCACTTTTGGAAGTTGAGATGTCGAAAAAGTGCACGCCGTTGTGGCGCGAAGCACATTTCCAAGTCAAAATGTACAAAACACACCAGGTTCGGACCACTTTTGGAAGTTGAGATGTCGAAAAAGTGCACGCCGTTGTGGCGCGAAGCACATTTCCAAGTCAAAATGTACAAAACACACCAGGTCCGGACCACTTTTGGAAGTTGAGATGTCGAAAAAGTGCACGCCGTTGTGGCGCGAAGCACATTTCGAAGTGAAAATATGTACAAAACACGACATATTCGCGCCACTTTTGGAGGTTCGGATGTTGAAAAAGTGGACGCCGTTGTGGCGCGAAGCACATTTCGAAGTGAACATGTACAAAACACTAGGGGTTCGGACCACTTTTGGAGATTCAGATGTCGCTTCGCCGCTTCGCTTCACTGCACTACACTACGTTGCATTACACCACACTCCACTATACTACACTACATTGCACTACACTGCACTCCACAACACTACAACTACAACTACACACCTAGACTACACTCCACTACACTCCACTACATTAAATTTCACTACGCTGCATTACACTACACTACGGTCCACTACACTACACTACATTAAATTACACTACACATACACTACATTACACTACACTACGCTCCACAACACTACAACTACAACTACACAACTACGCTCGACTACGCTCCACTACACTAAATTACACTACACTACACTACGTTACACTACACTACACTCCACTACACTACACTACACTCCACTACACTACATTACACTACACTACCTTCCACTACACTTCAGTTACATTACACTACACTACACTCCACTACACTACAACTACAACTACGACTACACAACACTCCACTACACGAAATTACACTACACTACACTACATTACACTACACTACACTACATTCCACTACACCCCACTACATTACACTACATTACACTACACTACAATACACTGAATGACACTGCACCACAGATAGACGGGTAGACAGATAGACAGATAGATAGGTAGATAGACAGACAGGTAGACAGCTAGACAGCTAGACAGATAGACAGATGAAAGAGAGAGAGAGAGAGATAGATAGATAGATAGATAGACAGACAGTTAGATAGAAAGATAGATAGATAGGTAGATAGGTAGATAGGTCGATAGGTAGATAGGTAATTAGATGAAAGAGAGGAAGAGAGAGATAGATAGATAGCTAGCTAGCTAGCAAGCTAGATAGATAGATAGATAGAAACATAGAAGATAGATAAGTAGGTAGATACATAGAAGATAGATAGGTAGGTAGATAGTCAGAGAAAGAGAGAGACAGGGAGGAGACCTCAAGCACCTTTCGGTCCATCAGTGGATTCGCTTTGCCATCCCTGATTCACAACAACCAACCTCTTCTATAGGTTTCCTATTTTTGAAACTTCCGCCACCGCCTTGTGCGGTACTACTGGTACCCCATATCAAACATATTCAGGTACAGATTCGCGCATTTCTTATGTGTAGATATCATATATACTACTTGCAAACACTCAAAAAGATATCCAAAAGTATTCCCAAAATTATGTCCAGGATTGCATTTCCAACATTTTCAGTTTCCAACATTTCCAGGATGATGTTTCCCATTTTTCATATTTTTCCAGCTTTCCAACATGTTTCATGACGTTTCCTCATTTCGGCATTTCGGCATCCCCTTGGCATCCAAGGCACGGGACGCTCGCCTTGGAACGGCATGGGCATTTTTCAGCGTGGGACTCCTGGCCCGGGGACGCTTCGCAGTTGTTTGTTTTTTGAGGACAACATTCCCTATGGATCCAGTCGTACCTTCTTAGGAGGCTTTTTTGTACCTTCTCAGACAGTGGCCATGGATCCAAGGGATTCTGTTGTGGATTGTTGTGTTTTTTTTTGTGGGGAGCACCCCAAAAACCCATCCGAAAGCATCCAAAACCAAAGGGTTTTCCTCTGAACAGTATAAATTGGAAGAGTTTTCATTTGACATGTTGGGGTCCTTTAAGAGACCAAATGGGATAGGTCAACCACCTGGGTACTTGGCATGTTGGGCATAATCAATCGGTTGATTTTTGGAAACACCTCTGGGAAACCAAGCGCGTTTTAGCCATGATCCACTTCTGGGACTTGTGTCAAGAGTCCAACAGCACAGCGATTTTTTGGGGTTTTAAAAACACAGGTGGCACACATTGAACAAAAAAACAAACTAGAAAAACAAAAACACGAAAACAAGAAAATAAAAACAAAAAACAATCAAAACTGAGGAACATCTAGGTGTTGCGTTGTTTTTTGTGTTTATCTTGTTTTTTCTTGTTATGATTTGTTTTTGTCCTGGTGATTCTTCCCGTCGAGTTTTGTTTTTTTTTGATTTTGTTGTTGATTGTGTTTCTGTTTTTTTCGTCGAGTTGTAATTTGTTTTTTCTTAAATCAACTTTCTCTGTTGAGCCGCTGGCCTCTAAATCAACTTGTGCTTCGTAGTTTTCATTGTTCGAGGTCGACCACCAGTTGCTTTGCCCAGGAAGTCTACAGCATGTAAATTTATCCTAGATTCATTTGGTCTATAGAATCCTTAAAAAAAAACAGTTTCCTTGCTAAAATAGTGGCAACTTCAAGTTTAACCTTTTGGTTGCTAGCAATTGCCACTATTTCACTTAAAGTAAGTGCATATGTATATATATATATATATGTATATATAATTATATAATATCATATACTATTATGTTCTGCATCTTTTTGCTTATGTCGCGATTCTGCTTCTCCAAGGTTTGCCCGACCAGTTGCTGCACCAAGCGCCACCTGGGAGTCGCCACTCGAGCGCTGGGAGTCGCGGTCTTGGGGCGAACCACTGCGCCACTCAGCGCCATGACACCTCGGCTGAGGACTCTATTCTTACTACTTCCAATTCCTACTAAAACTACTAGTCCTACTAGTCCTACTCCTGCTCCTACTACTCCTGCTACTACTCCTACTACTAGTACTAGTAATCCTACTCCTCCTACTCCTCCTACTGCTACTACTCTTATATACTCCTACTCTTACTCCTACTCATACTGCTACTACTACTACTCCTACTACTGCTACTGCTACTGCTGCTGCTCCTGGTACTGCCACTGCCACTAACACTAATAATAATAATCACAATAATGACAACAATAATAATAACGTGTTCTTATTATTGCCACTTGCTATTACTAGTACTATTGTTATTCATCCAAACAGATTAATTAGATATTCACTGCCATATGAGAAGTACGACATGTTCCAAACAAAATGTCAAACCGGCAATTTCATCAACAAAAATGATGGACTTGGTGGTTGTATCTTCTCATCAGCAGAACATGACGACTGACCCTTTGGCTTCCAACGTATTAATTCAGATTCATGTTCTGAAGCACTTTATATATATATATATTATATATACAGTTTATATACACATAATAGTTCAGGGGGTATCATATATAGTTCGGATACCCAAAATCTGACAGAAACCCAGCATCAAGAGGCCCATGCACTAATGTTTACCTGATAAAGAACTCGACCCTCGATATGCCTACAATTTGTCGTCTAAAAGAGTCAAGGCATTGAGTTGAAGGAAACTAGTGCGAACTGTCGTGGTTCCGGCCTTTCAATGACCAATATATTTTCGTCTCAAAACTGTGGATACCCCCATTTTGTGGCCGTTAAACCAGGGAAACTGGCTGGCCATTTCTACAAATGGGAAATTGACTTTGCAAGGAATTTGCTTGAAAGTAGCGTTGACGCCAGATCACTCCAGTTGGATGAGTGAACACATGGAAAAGTGAACCGACTTATACCTTGAACCTCCAAACCTGCCCGAAAACGTAAAATGCAAACAAAAACACAAGGTTTCCCTACTTTTTCTACAAGGTTTGGACTGTAGCTCTTACCAGCTGCCCCAAATTTCTACCAAGCGGCGCTAAGAGCAAAGTCGATGGTAATGACGTATCATTGGAAGTTGATGATTGTCATGCAGCTGATGTTAACTTGGCAATTTCTGTGCATCATGTGTCTTTAGTGGGCGTGACTGAAGCTGGATCTGCTTTGCGGTGGAGGAACAAACCCTAAATGCATAGAGAAAACTAGTGACTAGTGTTTCGAAAGGAAACTATCACTATGTTAGTAGGATTTCACTTGTCAATCTAATCTGACATGTTTTTGCCAAGTTTCCAACTATTTATGAGCTGTTGTAGACTCCTCATATGGCTGACATTGGCTGACCTTTAAAACTCACGGGTGCGCTTGCACCGGTGCAGCTAGTGAAACAGCTGCGGGGCGGTGGGAATGGTCAAGCACATCATGTATTGAAACTGAGGTCTGGCTACATCATGCCGCGTCTATCACTGGGTTGATATATGTATATACATATATATACTGTATATACATAATGTTTTCTTCCATCAAGTATGGGCATATCAGCATGACACGTCCAGCGTTGGTGAAGCTGCCAAATCGTGAGATCTAGTCACACGCACACAACCAGTCATCTTGACAATTTGTTGGAAATAATGAGCGACATGAAACTTGACATAATCCATGTTCAGCAGCTCATTTGCTTTAAACAATATAAACCTCCCATCCAGTTGACTTGCGGTCATGTTGACTCTTCAGCCGCTTTCGGCATGGCCTTCTCATCTGGGGTGTTGTTAAAGAGTCGAAACCTGGAGACCAACAGCTGGCAATGAACAGCCAGGCTATCCCATGGCGCTGGTATAGTATGATTACCCTGCACTTGGAGCTTCTCGTTTACCTAGCATCTTGACAAAGTGTTCGTTTCAAACCTAGTTCACTATCCCCAATGAAACCAGTTCACATCAGGCCTCAAATGACCACCACATAACGCTAAAACGGCTAAGAATTATTGGGCATTGCTCTTGTCTGGGACGATCTAGCCAAAGTTATACAGGATCCCTGGAACATAATGGGGACCTCATAGGTGTAACAACAAATTTCCCGAGAAAAAGTACCCGAATGATGTTTTTCATGTGGGACTTGAATTAGGGAATTTCAACCCATGAAAAGATGGGTACAGTATCAACCAACAACAGCTTGGGCATTCTCTGTGATGGATTCTGGCTTGTAGCACAACTTTCCCCCCTTTCAGCACTTACCCACTTGAATGCCCAATGTTCCAATGGGTCATAATCCCACTGCCAACTGAAAATCATGCAATGAAAAACACAACTTTGTCAAACCAAACCGCAAAGTCAGTTTGTCCCTTCAAAGTTTAAGTCCCTTCAATAAACCGAAAAAAAAGCCTATGTGGTTTACTATGTATACATAATATACATTAATATATAATATATACTAGTTATAATTAATAATTACAAACATACTATGGTTATAATATACTATGGTTATACATAATATACATTAATAATTACAAAAAAAATCTTACAAGTCATAACCAGGACCCCACGACAGGCAGCATAGTGAGCTCTGCAACATTTGTCTTGCCACTGCCTGTTGGAGCCTACGGCCACCAAGCTGACGCTGACAGCGTCAGATTTTTCGGTGGTCGTTCAGTCTATAGAAGTCATGGAGGAGAGGAACGTTATATACAATATATTTCTATATTATACAGTATATATGTTTCAGAAATAGATTCTAAACATTATATGTATACTATATATATATATATATATTATTATTATTACATGAAAAAAGAAAAACATAATAAATATATTCTAACATAGATACGACGTAGAAAATTCATATATCTATTTCAACTATTTCAAGAACAAATAGTCACATTACCAAAGAAAGTGTGTAAGTTAAGCGAACCTGTCTTGATGGGTGTCTTGAGTCTTGATGGGTGCAAACAAGTCCTCCCATTTCAGCTCTCTCTCTCTCTCTCTCTCGTTCTTTGCATTGCAACTCTGACTCTTACAGTCAAAAGGCGACAAGCCAGACATCACAGTGGTAATCACAGTGGTATACCAGAGCTACCCTCTGGTAAACGAACAAAAAGCTATTGGAAATTGCCATTGATAGTGGATTTACCCAAAAAATATATATAGCATGGTGATTTTCCATAGTTACGTTAGTTTGCCACAGGCTAAGATGTATCAAACCCAATTCGGTGGCATCCCAAAAGCCGCAAAGCCTGCATTCAGGGGAAATCTTAGCGGTGCCATTGCCTTATGAAAAAGATGTGTTAACTATCAGCAAAGAATCCATTGATGTCTTATCTTTCTTTGATTATCAAAACATCTGGATATAAAATTGTCTTATCGTCCTGTTTTCATCATCAACAACAAACATGCTTTTCAAGAGGACAATCGCTTTTCACATGGTTTTGACCATGAAGAACATGATTTCCCATCGCTTTCACCACCAAACAAACATAGCATAACTTATATTGATTCTTAAGGAAACACCTTACCGTAAACCCAGGCCACAGCCGTCACGCTTGACATCTGAGCAGAACCCACTCCCAGCAGCACGTTGTAATCCGTGTGGTAGCAAGTGTGAAAAACCTGGACCCAGAAGGAAAGAAGAGTTTCTCAACGGAAAACAGAACTGGTTGGTGGTGCGTTTTGACCATCTTGAAAAATCTGAGTCAATGGGAAGGATTGTCCATATATTATGGAAACTAAAAAAACCATGTTTGAAACCACCAACCAGAGAACAACTGTTAAAGAAAAGTAAAGCGAGGGACCGAAACATATATATGGTACAGTACACATTTTATTGCAACCTATGGTAATGATTTTTCTGTAAACATTATGACGTTCAGGATCGTTCAGGTACTGTTTACCTAAACATCCTAAACAAAAATGAAGGGATACAAACAGTGATACAAACTCATGTTTTTTTCACAAGATTCTTGGGAGTCACGGCGGTCATGACACCTTTAGCCATCATCCCAGCATTTTTCTCGACGAAATGGCTCAGCTAGGGTATGCTGGAGATACCATCAATCGAATCCACCGGTTGAGAAACCTATCCTGGGACCCACATTGTACACGTCATAACATGGAAGGACCTCAATTGCTGATTAAATTGACTAAGCAAATCGCGCCTGCGTCTGGATCGCATTGAAGTGTGTGAACTTGTAGAGCCTGACACGACGAATGAACCAACACGCTGAACAAACACAACTTCCGAAAAGAACCTACTGTCTGCGCACGAAAACAAGAAACGTATTGGATATCCAGCACAAACACTACAGGACTAGACTTGACAACTATCATCATCAATTATCCCTGCAACTAGCATAGACCATGAGACTCAGCATGATTAAACTCAAAGTCGGAAAGGAGTCTTCCCAAACCCCGGCCCTTTACCAGTTATAATTATAAGTCAGTTATGATCTCATTTATGGAATGATAACCCCATCTATAAGCGTTTACAACCATGTATAACTGGTATTTCGGGCCTTAACTGCAGGGTCTACTATACTCATGCCCAAGCTTGACGCTGCCTCTCGAAGTTGGGGTTGTGAAGAGAACTCACGGGAATGGGCGTGAGGTCCAGCAAGGACGTATGAGCCTGAATTTGCACCATGAAAGGAGCTGAATCAGGCTGCTGATGCTGTGATGTTTCAGCACACAACCATGTGACTGGTGTTTATTACACTAGTAGCCACACAATGAGACACATCCTGGTTGGTGGTATACCTACCCCTCTGAAAAATATGAGTTCGTCAGTTGGGATCATGAAATTTCCAATATATGGAAAGCCCTAAAATTCCATGGTTCCAAACCACCAACCAGCATCACCATGATTTTGATGCATCTTACAAACTCGAACAGGCCTGTTGCCGATCTGGAAGCAGCAAGTGCTGAACAGAGAACTCATGAGCAAACCTAAGCAAAACCCAAGGAGGTTGCAGCAAATAGATTCATACAGATTCTATTATAACTGGGTATCAAACTAATAAGTTTCCTAGACCCTGACCCTTTTAACGTGTTTCACTGTAGCATGCGCAGCATGCTCCGAGATCAACATACAGAACATACATCATCCAAGAAAATCCTAGAAAAGATCATCTGCCATGAAAAACTTGTTGACCAACTGTTGCAGCAACCGTTGGGGCAGCAACAGGTGGTCAACGCGCTACCAAGGACCTCACTTTACTCCGACCCAGCGATCACTGACCACGCTGATCACCTCGCGAAGGGTGGCGCTGGGCCCGGAAAAACGACCCGGTACGGTAGACAGAGGCGAACAATTCGGCATGTTGTGATACGGTGGATGGGCCAGCGCCAAATCACCAGTTGAAAACGGTGGTCAACAATGGTATAAACATGGCATGATTCATATAGGGTTTCAACCATCCAAGGTGAGTTGATAGGTGGTAAACAAACAATGGTCAACATCCCATGTTTTTGTTGGGGTTTCAAAACCATCCGTTTGGTGGTGATTTCGCTGGCCCATCCACAGAAAATGTTGTGAATTTCTGTGTTTCTACTCATTGGTTGACAGTGGCGAAAAATCACGGCCCCCGGACGTATTGCGGAGGCCGCGGCTCTGTCAAGGGAATCGCGAAGGACAGCTGGCCTGACATCGACTTAGTTCATTTCAATGGTTGATATCCTGAAAAAACAACACATTTGTGTGAGCTCATGGGGACATGGGGATGCAGTAATTCACAATAATGTGAAAACAAGGCTTTGAATACTGGTTGGTGGTACTGTAAAATATTGACATTATAAAGTTGATTAAAGTTGAATTACTATGTTCACAATAATGTTCATATTTGTGATAACTGGTTGGTGGTGCGTTTTAACCATCTTGAAAAATGATGGAGTTCGTCAATGGGAAGGATGACATCCCATATAGAAAATGGAAAATAAACTTTGTGT